TCACAAGACACAATCATTAGCACATTCACGAATTATAATAAGATGGGAAACTTGGAACAGGAAGAGACGATCTAAAGAAGTGGAAAGCGTGGACGGACTATCAATGCAATATATGAGAACAACAGGACTACTGATTTTTTTAATAGGACAAGCGGGATTCATAATGTGGATGTCAAGGGATTGGACATGCTTGAATAAGAAGGGGCATTATCTATGAACGGGTGAAGGATGAAATTAGGCCGGAAGCGTAAAAGTTAGATAATGTCAATTTTCCAATACCCTTGCAGGAATTTTAGCTACCAGCCTTTTCTTTGGACCAATGCGGAAATATATGAAGCGGAATAGGGCGTGGATATTCAGTGGGCATTGCAGAGCCTTTGATTTGGACGTAGCAGGTAGGGAGGATGGATGAATCTGTAATCTTATGAATAAACTTATAGGACTGGTGTGACAATATGGGGCAATGAGAACCCTTTGGCGTATAGATATGGACTTGGAAAGGATTGGAATACAACTGAGGAGGACTTAATTATTAGGAATTCATTTCAAGACATCATGATTATAAGATTGGAAAGAAATTGGTAGGCAAACAGGATCTTTTGTTTAGCTGAGGGAAAAGGGTGGGTCAATTCAAGTCAAGTCAATCATTTAGTAGTAAATAATTAAGAAAATCGCACGGCGTCAAGAGCACTGGGACGAAATGGATGGAATAACACAGCAAATGGAAATTTAACGGGATCAGAAAGGAAGACAGACAGACTTGGACGGAGAAGAAACAAACCAGCAACATGGAAGACGTGGAACGGGAAATTAACGTGAAATATTTTGGCATCAAGATGTAAGAAGATTCATAAGACTAGGAAGAATTATAAATTGGATTGAAAAGTTTGAGTGATATGAAGAGAAAGAGTGAAAGGGTTGAGTGTTTAATTAATCCTTGCTGGATGTTTGGCCATCTACCTCTTCTTAGAGCGGATGAGATGAAATAGTTTGAAATAACTCATGGGCGTCTTGGATTAGGTCGTAGCGGTTATCTTATGGAATGGAATACGGATTGATGATACAATATTGGACGGCGATGGACTTATTTACGGATAGAAGTGGACCTGGCGCAGATTGGATCCCAACAACAATGGACGTTATTCTTGGAAATCTTGGTTAAAATTTACGAGGAGTAGTGTTCTTTTGGCATTTCCACAGGAATGCTGCGGACAGCATTAAGTTGGGGGGGGGGATGTGGTGTGCTGTGCCTGTTCCAATGCCAAAAGCATACAGAATAGGATATAGTGACACACACTTATCATTCATTACAAGAGGAGGAACATTCATTACGTAGGACATACAACAACAGGATAAGGTATACATACGTAGACGTGGTGTGTGCGTGGGTAGGTTATGTAATATGGGTTTATGTATTGCGTAATCAGTGGAAAAGAACATAAGACAGGTGATGAGGAGGGGAGAAGGAAGGTAGGCGGAGAGGCTTTGACCCTGAAGAATGAACAAGGAAGGAAGTAAGCAAGTGTTTCATCTGATGTTTCATCTGTGGCTTCATCTGTTGAGATGAAACACAGAACATTTGGAATGTGGATTTGGTTTCTGAGTAACAGATCTCATAAGACTGTATACTGTACTGGATTACTGCTTTGGAATGTTTCAGCACATGCTACATGGCTTGGTTTCATAGCAACCAATGACATCATGCTGTGCAAGTGTGTGTCACCTGCAGCAAAAATAACTCACAAGGAGTCCCCTGCAGCAGAAATCCCTCACTCTTCAATATAAAAGGAGGGCCTCTCTCCACCAGGATTCTCTTTTCCCCCATCAACCTACAGGAGTAAGTGGGTCACAATTAGTTAGTAGTGTGCGTGTCAGAGAATTAGTTAAGTAAAGTCAGAGATTTATAAGTAGTAGAACCAGAACCATTGAACCATAAAAAAGTGAACTTAAGTAGTATTATTAACAAATAACAAATAACAAGTAGTAGTAGTAGTAGTAACACCAGAGCTCTAGTTGTGATTAAAGTGCCTTAGCAAGAAATTGTTCGAGGAAGAGATCATTAACAAAATCTAAATAACAAATTCAACTGTCTTGCGCTCAACCATAAGCGCCACAGTTTCCATTATTAGCCTGAAGTTGTAACAGATTCATTAGTAGATTGATACGTGATCTAGGTCTGATAGAGATTACTTTACAAAAGTAAGATCAATCTTGGAATCAGCCGCATATTCTTAAATATTGATTACAAGACTCTTAGTTATTTGTTTAGTACAATTAGAGGGGCAGGTCTTTCAAACCACCCGTAAGTTGTAATAGCCTTTTAACCTATTTGCAATTTATTTCCCCCTCAAGGGATCTTTTGATATACATATACTTTACCGTGTCTATCCGTCCCAGGAGTCCTACAACGGATGGTGGAGGAGAGTTTTGTTCAAAGGAATTTGAATCATATTTCAAGGAGAAAGGTGTCATTCATCACATTACTGCTCCTTATACTACCCAGCAATCGTCAATTGCCAAATGGGGTAATCAAACGACTAGTGAGAAGGCCAGGTCTTTGCTCAAGGAGGCGGATCTTCCTGTTTCTTTGTGGGGAGAGGCTGTTTTGACGGCTGTCTCATACGAGAACATCACACCGACAAAGAAAATTTGCTGTCAAACTCCACATGAAGTTTGGTTTGGCTCAAAATTCGATTACTCAAGGTTTTTAGTTGTCAAGCTTTCATCAACATTCCAGGAGACAGAAGAATTGGTAAATTTGGAGATACTTCTAAGGAAGGTATCTTGGTAGGTTATAGACTGGGTATTCCAAACTGGAGAATACTTACGGCGGGTACTTGAGTTGAGTACAGCCATGATGTTACTTTCCATGATTCTAACTTTTCCAGGAATCTCCCCAAGTAACCCTGTCTATAATTTATATGAGGATGACGTCATCATTGGGGATGATGCGGAGTCACCTGCGGCATCTTCTTCACCTCCTTCCGCAAACTCACCGATTGAGTTGTCTTCACCTCCAGAAGTTGATGAAAATCCTGCAACCGATCTTCCTTCTTCTCTCACATCTATTCCAGATCTTCTACCGTCAACAATTTTGACTTCTACACTCCTTTATCTCCAACAAATATATCTTGACCTTCCCTTCCAACAAAACCGGGGTTCTCATAGGTTCCTAAAGATCAACCTGCACTCAAAAACATCTCATCTGATATTGACACCCACAACATTCTTGTTTCCAAAAGACGTGCTCATCTTGTGAATCAGGAGTTAACCAACAAACCATGGTCTGTACGATTCTTCAACAAAAGTCTTTGTTACTCTTCAATTCTGGAAGCTACTACTGTACAAAGCGGCCATTAACTCTTCTCAATCAGCCGAGTGGACTGAAGCAATCAAAAATGAACTCTCAGCCATGGACCGTTTGCAAGTGTGGAATGTTGTCCCGATTCCACCTGATCAGTCTCTTCTTGGTTCTGTCTGGGTCTTCTGAGTGAAATTGAACGCCGCTGGGGAATTTGTCAAGTTCAAGGCTAGACTCTGCGCCCAAGGAAGTGCACAGCGTGAGGGAATCAATTACACTGAAACCTATTCTCCGACTGGACGTGCATAGGCATTGGGTTTGGGGTTGACTTACGGTGTCAACAACAATCTCGATGTCCATCAAATGGATGTCAAAAATGCCTTCTTAAATGGCACTTTGGAAGAAACGGTTGATCTTTGAATTCCTCAAGGTTTTGATGCTCCACCCGGTACCTGTCTTTGCCTGGTCAAATCGATTGATGGCTTAAAACAGGCTCCTTGCAATGCTGTAACAGATACGATACACTGTGTGTATCATGGAGAATTCTGCAAAGCTGGATGGCCAAAAACCAAATCTGTTGAATCTCCTTGCAAATAACAGCAGATTGGTCAGATAGGGTTTTTTATTGGGGCTCAGATACATGGCAGATACCGTATCTGTTTCAGCCTTGCCAGAGCGCTCGATAGGATATGGCGGCAGGACTTGTGGGCACATAAGAAAGTCCTGCCGGGCTCGATGGGTAGCTCAACAGCTTCCTCCTGTGGACAGCCACAACAATCCCTGAGCATCAGCCCCCACCTCCCCAACTGATCATGTGTACCACTATGGTAATTCAACATACCAAAATTCAAAGTTTTTTTTTTCCTCTGTTCTTTTCTTTTCTTTATGTGTACTTCTCTCTCATCCATCCAATCCTTCATAGATCAGATCACACAGCTCCAGAAATGAAATGCAGTGAAATTTCTATGGAGCGTTTAAGCCTAGGTCTCTACTGCACACTTTCCTTGGACCTCTCATGATTGATTGAACAACACAAAACAAAAATGGTTTGTCAGAGTGATGAGTGATTTGTAAATAGTAACTGCTTGCAGTTACAGTGTGTTTGTAAGACCCTTCAGAGCTAGTCAAGCGGTCAGGAACCAGCCAAAAAAGAACACGCTTCTGTTTTTTTATTCTTGTCATGGATTTGTTTGGTTGATCACACAGCTCTGACTGGCCAGTCAAGAAATAAATAATATATATACAAGTCTGGCCAACTAATCACTATAGTCACAGAAGAAGAGAGTAAGGATTCCAAAAAGCAGGATCTATATTCAGAGGCCAAATCTGGAAAGTGTATGTTATATAAATCTTAAGTCGTCAATAGATAAATAAATAAATAGAGTCAATATATGTAAGAGTAAAGATACAAGGAGAAGGGGAAGAGAGAGAACAGCAGGCAGACAAAAGCCTGCAAACCGAGCCCACAGAAAGCCGCAAGATAAAAGCACATCAGAGTGACGTGAGAACAAGACAAGGAGGGACGATGGAGAAAAGAACAACGGGGGGGACAGGAGGATGATCAAGCCTCAGAGTCCCATGAACAACCACAAACACTTTTTTTTTTCTTTAGGAAAAAAATGCAAATAAATAAATAAATGAGATGAATATGTAAATAGAAGTGGTTGGGAAGAGGACGACGAGCCGGGAGATGAAGGGGTTATTGTTCCCACCAATTGGAAGCCGGTTTAGCGGCGGCCTTATCGAGAGCAAGGTGCAACAGGCGCAGATTGGAGTCGGCGGTAGTAGATTCAGATATTTTTGAGGAAGGAGGGAGGATATTGCGGAGATGAGGAGGGTTGAGGAGTGCAGGGGTATGTGCGAACGGGGACGGAGTGGTCGTTGGATGATGATGAAGGTCGTCATTAGAGAGCGTAGGTGGTCGTGAGGCAAGGGCGGATTGGCCTTGGCGGATGAGCCCCTGGATTTGGGCTTTGAAGGCCTTCATCTCAGGATCATCATCGTCCTCGTCCTCCTCCTCCTCCTGCTCATCATGGTGTGGGGTTAAGGGGGGGATGTAGGGGTCCAATGAGCAGACGAAGTCGGCCATGAGTTCGTCGTTTTGTGGCAAGCTTCTTCGAGGCGGCGGTGGCGGCGGCGGCGGGGGGGACTGAGGGAGCTGGGCGAGAGAAGGATCGTGGAGGGGTCGGAGGACGAAGTTGATGGATGACGGGTGGGTGACTGGGCCGGTTGAGCGTGCGGAGTGGAGACGAGAGGTCGTGGATCGGAGCCGGGGCCGACGGAGGAGAGGGGCCGAGAGCTGTTCTGGTGGTGGTTCTGCTTGACGCGGCTCGTAGGGCGGCGGAGGAGGCTCCAGGTGATCAGCTAGGTTGGTTGCGGGAGTGTTGGTAGTAGCAGTTGTGGTAGGAATCTTGGATGATGACTTGGTGAAGATCGATAATTTGGGAGAGGGATGTTGGACGAAGCTGTTTTCCTCCTGCTCCTGCTCGAGTGGTTTCCCACACCAGAACTGGTAAGCAGCATCTGATATATTTAATATTTAGAAGATACAAAGTCAGGTTCAGATGCTCGCTCGCTGATTTTATGTATGTATGTAGAGTGAAGAAGACTGACATCCGATGGCTGAAGTGAAGAGTGCAGCATCGAGTGCGGTTGAGAGGATGGCCCCAGCGACGCCCTTGCGACGTTTCTTTGAGGGCTGTTGATGATCCAAGGTGGTATCGGTTGTCTGTTGGTGGTGATGAGTTGGTTCTGATTCTGATTCTGATGATATGCCTCTGTTCCTCTTGCGAGTATTGCTGTTGTTTTGATGGTGGGCTGCTGCTTCTCCTGTTTCTTGTTCTGATTGGTGCAGGTTGATGATTCCAAACATTTTCAATTAAAATTAATGATGGGATTGGGATCTTCCCAGATTGCTTGTTGCTCGGTTCGATCTGGTTCTTGGGGCAGTGCGGAGTTGAGGTGCTGTGAAGAAGCTGACGGATTGGGTGGGGAGGAAGTGACAGTGATTTGTGGGGCAGGGGAAAGAAAAAATAAACCAAGCGCAGGCTGAGTCCTTCTGCTTCACAAGGACCTCCTCTCCAACACACTGCATGCACTTCAGCTCAGCAGTTCAAGTCAGGATAGAACCGTTCAACGAAAATCTATAGTCAACCCCCACACACACACCCAAATAAACTAACAAGAATAAAATCAGGGCCAAAAGCAGTAGTCTAAAAGCACTCAAATTAATGCATCCCCATAATCAATTCTCAGAAAAGATCCAACAACAGAACTTCCAGTACTGCTTGAGTCTATACAACCATCTCAAGAAGCTCAGAGATACAGCACGAATTATTATCTGAATATGTACTTGTCCTCGCAATGATGCAGTGTAGACGGGCCAGCATGCATCTAAAGAAATCCAGCCTGTGCACCAACTTCCATTCCAATCAGAACCAAGGAAGAGAGGCAAATCAGTTGTATGTTGTAACTCTGGTTGGAGTTTGTTCTGAAGCTGGGATCCTCTGCGAATTCTATGCATACTCCTCTTTTTTTGGGAGAGATACACACATGAAGAATGGACTGATTTCAAAACAGGAGATCAAGCAGCCCCAGCCCAGGAAGTGTTTTTCGGGCTCAAATCAATAGAACACATCATTCAATATGTAAGCTCATCAAGGCTCCTTATCAAGAACCGAGTCATGACCTGCAGGTTACATACTCCTGAAAACAAAGAGCAAATTCACATTGTTATCAGTCCCCTTAGATGAGGAGTCTATTGGGCTGTTTCAAGCTCTCTCTCTCTCGCTCAAATCGATGAGACTTCAAGAAGAACAGACTGATTATCAAATTCGATCAGTTGCAAGAAGATAGTATTCGTCAAAAAAAAAGAAAAAAACAAACAGGATGAGTTTTTGATTGCATTGGGATGTTCACAAAATCTAAGATTCTGAAAAAAAAAAAAAAACCAGTTCAAGATGTAGATATAAGGAGGAAAATCACAGGTATATAAAAGTACAACGGGGAAGGAGGTTCCTACGACTGAGACTGCAAGTACTGGTCTATGTGAATCAGTAAGGTCAATTTTTCTCGAACGTGGATTGGGATGGACAGCATGTGATAGATCGATCGTCACGATAGCTTTTGAGAGCCAGGGGCATCGGCCAACTTGTTATGGGCATCAATATCCTTAGCCTCCCATGGATACTTCCAAAATCAAATAAGACGGATAGAAACCAAAAAAAAGATCGGGTCAGTGTTTTTGGCAAGTGAAGAGGGAGGAGCAGGTGAGACTTACATCGATCCAATGATCTCCGACCGTCTTGCCAGCAAAATATTTGATGTGTTCAGGGATGCTACCTGCCTTGGGTTTGTCCTTATTATGGACTACACCAGACCATCATCGATCGGATGCGAAGAGAGATTGACATCAAACTGAGGCTGACCTTCGAATGATTCCGGGAAACGAGCATCAAAGAAAGAGGAGAGGAGACGGACCGACAAAGATGGCGAATTGGGTGGCCGGGAACTTAGCCTGTTCGTCCGGACTCAGCTTGGACAGTTGGCTCTGCACGTCCTTCTCCAGCTCGTGGATCGCATAGGAGAGCGTCGTCCGGGTGTCGTCTACTTCGTCCTACACAAGCTCTCCCCACACATGTCGAGCTCAGCCTCCTGACTGTGTCCATCACAGTCTCACCGACGCCCAGCAACTCACAACTATCAATATCCTCTTTCCTAGTAGTGGGTTTCGTCCTAGAGTGGTAAAGTCGAGCCTGAACAGCAAACAGAAAAACACAATCCGCATGGGTTAACGTGAATCAGGTTCATATATCTAGCAGAAAGAAAGGTTTCAATAGGCTTGAGAGCGATGGATTACCATTGAGTTCTAAGACGAGAACCAGGCAAAGATGAATCAGTCAATGAACTTTTCCTTTTCCGCCTAGACCGAATATTATAAGATAAAACGATTACCTGACCACTTCCTTGCCCACTTTTTCCTCGGTATTCGGCAGCCCATCGGTCTCGTCAGTCGTCCCCAAATCCTCATATAGCGATAATCCGATGGCCTGGAAGGGTCAAGATCATTCTGTCAATTCACTTCCGACTAGTCGGATCCTTCTGTCATCCTGTTCGTGTTCTTTCGGGAGATCATACGGATTCTGCCCCGCTTTCGGACGGATGGTATACATACCTGGATCGGGATGTTTTTCTTGCTCGAATCTTTCAGGAAAGTGCGCTATTAAAAAAAAAAACATCAATAATCAATTTCCTTCACTCTTTCCTACTTAATCTTTCTGTAATACAAAGAAGAAAAGTGGAAGAGTGGTGGAGCTAACCAACCAATACTCTAGCCGGAAAAAACCCGCCGCCTCCAATGGCGATCATGATTTCAGGTCTGAAAAAAAAAATGATGGATATCAGAGTGGATTGAAAAGTGTGAGAGAAAAAAAAAAACATCATCATTGAATGTTATGAGTTCATTTAGCCTCCCAAACTTTCAAGAAAAAAAAAAGAAAACAGAAAAACTTGCCCAAACTGATCCCGAATCGTTTCTGAAGCATCAGCGATAGTCCTCTACAGCCGACCAAAAACAAAAAAAAGCAAAGGAAATAGGATCGAGAAGAAGGTCGAGATGGTAAGCTGGTTAGAGCTGATCAATATGCGCCATGATGTCTGATGGAGAGCTTACATGGATATCCTCATAAGTCAACCGAACATCTACATCCAATCCCGGGAAAAAAAAAACACACACAAAAGGTCGATCAGTTTTTGCTTGTTTTCTTTCTCATTAGTCACTTGGCGAAGCGAGGTGAAGTCTTACGTTGGTCGAGTGGGGTCATTGTGTATCACTAGATGCCGACGGATCGATGGTAATGTTTGTATAATGGGATGTGCTTGTCTTCTTTCTTTTCTGGAAGCCGGAAACTTTGGAAAGTGAGGTCGGAGTTAGGATATGCTGGCTCGGTATGTATGCAATTTGAGAAACCCAGTATATCAAGGGTCTGGCCGAGTCTCGAACTCTAACTAAAGAAAAAGCACTCCGACCTTCGGAGCTCGGCATCAGACAACTGTCGATCGCACATACCGGAGCCTGTCCATCCCCTTATCATCCTCCTTCTCCCAGTAACCCTCAACTTCAAGAAAATAAGTGACCTGCATCTTCACCAAAACAACCTGATCATCAAAAACCTTTCAAGTCTCAATTCAAAAAACAAAAAACCTAATTAGCTACATAAACTGAAGTGACTTGATCAGCCCAACAAAAACAAAACAGAAAAATCTTGACCACTTATTAGACAATGTTATGCTTGCAGTACATCTGGAAATGGTTTAATTTACAGTGTGTGTGTGTGGATTGTGACCACAGTTTTTACATCAAGAAGATGAAATCGTCAGACGAATTAAATTCTGAAAAAGGATGTTGAGAATTCAGCCAAACAGGAATGAACCAACATGGTTTCACCTAGGAATTTATTTCCCCAGTGATCTGTTGGACTTTTTCTAACACATAAAATACTAGATCTTGAATCCTAATCATCAATAGTGGGAATCAAACTGATTCAAAGTTGATTTTTAAACAGGATTCTACATACATGATGTCACAAAGTGAGGAGGTTAACCATTTGAGTTTTCTGAAACATCCTGTTCTGCTTTGTTTAGAGCATCTCTCAAAAGCTCTGTGAACTTGACAATGTTGTGTAGAATGTTGTTCAAAAATCAACTTTGAAACCCCCTAATAACTTTTTATTCATAAGCCCAGCGGTCATGTATGGAGAATAACCCACTGAGATTATTGCATTTCACAACCACCTTTCATAACATGTGTCACCATATCCACCTGGCAGACACAACTACTCTTTGGTGAAATGATGCAAGCAATCTTTGCTGTGTTTCCCACTTTTTATGAGTTGTGAATGTGAATTCTAGTGTGAAAATTATTGATGAAGATGATTGTTGTAAATGTGAATTTTAGTGTGAAAATTATTGATGAAGATGATTACAGGAGTGCTAGTAGTGGGTGTATGATTGAACTTCAAGCTGTTGAAGTGTTCAAGATGGCATGTTGCCTTTGCCATACAATCACAAAGTAGATTTTGGCAGGGACCTTTTAAGTAACAGCAAGATATAGCTCAATTTGCCAAAATGTTACTAACAATTCAATGCTATCACATGGTATTTGACTCATGTGAATGTGAACATCCCTGTTTTTTTTTAACACAGAAACCAAATCAAACTTGTTGGACAAAAGGCATTGGAAAAATATGTACATATCTTGAGTAAAGATAAAATAAACATATAACGTTAGATCACAAGTAAGAAGAAAAAAAAATGACAAAAACAGCAGCATTAACCAAGAAAGATGTAAGAATCACTCAGTCCTGTGGGAGATGAAAGAATGATTGAAAGCGAAAACTTCACACATATAACATATAATGAAGGAGAGTTGACAGGTTGCGTTTTTTTTTCTTCTTCTTCTCTCTGACATAAAGCTTTTTAAAGATGATGATAATCATTAGCTTTGTCCATGTCTAGGTACTGAAAATGTAAGAATTGGGTAAATGGTTTCAAGACAGATTCCGCATTCAGCTTGTTTTTGGTGGGTCGTTGTAGAAATAAATAATTGTATTTTTGTTGGTGATCAATTAGGTGGTTTCGCCTAGGAAGAACATTTTGAAGAATTCACTGTGAAGATGGGGTGATAACATGCGGTTCAGCTCGCTAGTTTGGGATCAACTTTTGCCAGATCGATGAAGACATAAATCACGTGACTCAACTAAGAGAGCCAACATAAGGCATTACTTGGCATGAATGTCAAGACGCGGGGTACAATCCCCCGGGTAAAACCTATCAATCCCATGTTGCGGTGGATAAGCTTACAAGCATCCAGCATTCCACGACAGTTGCGAATTTCCGGGTCGGTAGAAGTTCCTTTAGTCTGCAGCAAGGTCTTGCACACGTCCAGTGGTGTTGTTACAGCCGCCCCGAACGCGCCTGAAATCCCTCCGCAAACGACATGGGTAATTGGAGAGTAAGCATCGACCGGGTTTGCTAGTCGCTTCAGTTCCTCATATGTCGAAAATTGAACGGCCGTGAATGGTATCGACATCGTCAATGTTGTGGGGTAAGAGCTTTTGTAATCGGATCGTTACATTTGATCAGTTATTTTGGTCGTCAAAAGGGCGTATAGACCTGAAATTCACACAGCTCGAAGATATCCTGCTTCGATCGTGCCCTCCATACCACTCACATGTAAAACGCCCTAAGCCCTTCGGCCTGGTAAACTGCTCTGGCTGCAGAAATAGCTGTTTTGTGCTTAGAGCCCTGAATCTGCATTCTTTGTTTGATAACTAAAACAAGGTGAGAAGTTCAGATGTAGTCCATCGAAAGTCAAAAATCAGTTTCACAAGAAAGTTGAAAAGTGGATTTTTTTTTCGACTCAAGTGATAAGGGAAGGCAGACCATCAAAAGGGTTCATTAGGGCATCGCTAGCGATCGTTGCCATCGAGCCAGCCGCACCAGTGGCAAGGATTTGTTGGCCTCGCTGATTGCCCCCGAAGGCCTCCTTCGTCATTTCGTAGGTTCCAAAGTAGACTGCATGTGCTGGACCGGCACCCATGAAGACTGAGCTGACGCCCTTCCACAGACGTTTCGTTCCTTCAGTCGTAGCAACAGACCGGAAAGTAGAGGTCATCGTCTTGTACACCTCGGTCGTCACGCCACTATTAACGTTATTCATCGCTGGTCCTGCGACTACTTGCATCCTCGTCTTGAAGAAAACAGAAAGCAGCGATCAATTTATAATCAAAAAAATCACGTCTGAGCTTCCGAATGTGTGCTCATCCCATCTTTGATATTTTTTGTAGACGTGGCAATTATCAGTCAGAAAATCTCAAAGGCTGACCTTGATACTATCAACAGGATACATGACCACATGCTCCGAGATCCCAGCTAACGCCCCGGCCATCATGTTGACACCCAGACTGGCATTTTGGAGGCCTTCGTAGTCAACTTCTTCTGCCATCAGGATATGAAGATCGAGGTGATAAGGATCGCGACAGTGCCGGTTACTTTTGGTGCGACGGATTGAACGGCGACCAGAGGAGATTAGACGTGCACTGTGGTTTCTGATGGGCCGTCGGTGCGCAAGTGGAATAAGGAACCGCTCCTTCTGCTTACCGGCCGACCGTTGACTTGAGAGACCCGAAAATTTCACAGGGTTTACACCGGCCAAACATACTCTCCCTTCGAGCTGTGAAAGTGGTCAGGCTGCGCGCAGTCACATTAATATGTCATAATAGTGGAGACTGGAGAATTAGCAAACAGATTTGTTGAACACCCTTCCATTGCCAAGACCTCTTACAGAATCAAGACCAAAAACAAGGTCCCTGTTGGGCCCATATTTTCAGAGAAAAGTCAAAGTTGAAAGAATGACAGAGCATCATTCTGGAAATTGGACTCACCCTTGCCTTTCATTTAGAGATGGGTGGGGATAATCCGTTGCGGATATCCGCTGGCGGATATCCGCCAGGGCCAGCGGATACCCGCCAGGGGATGCGGATCCGGGTGTGGATGTCCTTTCCCCCCCCCCCCCAAATCCCAGCGGATATCCGGGTATCCCCTGGGATACCCAAGACCAATGGCCGGCTGGAAGGGTTTCCTTCCAGCCGGCAAGGTCCTTCCAGTCGGCGAGGCATGTACCTCGTCGACTGGAAGGGTTGCCTTCCAGCCGGCGAGGCATGTACCTCGCCGACTGGAAGGGTTTCCTTCCAGCCGTCGAAACCTTCCAGCCGGCGAGGTACATGCCCTAACTGGCAAGGTACATGTACCTCGTCGACTGGAAGGAAACCCTTTCAGTCGACAAGGTACATGGACCTCGCCCGCTGGAAGGTTTCCCTTCCAGCTCGCAAGGTAAATGTACCTCGACAGCTGGCGAGGTACGTGTACCTTGTACTTGCCGGCCATTTAGAGGGCGGGCATCCGAGGATATCCACCCGGGGATGCAGATGCCACTTTCCCCGGAAAAAGCAAGCCGGATATCCGGATGCAAAGTGCCCATCTCTAACTGTAGCTAGTCTACACAGGTCAGCAAAATCTTTTTTCAGTTCAGGAGGTGTCTAACCAATGATTGGAGGACTTCCCTTTGGTTTTACAGGCATCTTATTTCTTAATCTACAGCCTGTAAATATACTTTTTTAAATACAACAATCATGAAGTGTTGAACATGAAGGGATGAATTTTTGTGATGGGATCTGAGAACAGGGGAAGAATGACAGGAGAAAAATCCTGATACAACAGGTTCAAGAGGAAAAACTAAGTGAAAGAACCCTCAAGATGGATAGAGCTGCAAGGTCTGCAATGGACAGGCGCTCATGCTACAGTGACCTCAGGGAAATGATTGTGGAAGGCAGATTATTTCTTTAATATTTATGAAACTTGTCCATTTAGCTATGACAACAGTGGGGGATAAGTTGTGGGACAGAAGGTATTCTGAATGTGCAATGGAAGATTTGAAAGGAGCAATAGGGATCAAGAAGCTGATGAAAGCAGGAAACAAATGAATTCCAACATTGCCTGTGCACTGGTCATGGTAATGATAAGTGTCTTAATTTAGGATTTTTGTGGAAGTCCACAATATCATAAGGCGGTGGGAAAAACAACTCCCAAATACTTTCCAAAAACTTCCATCTTGGTTGAGGGGCTGTTGGGGGAGTTGTTCTTGCAATTTGCCCTGCTGAATGGGGAGTTGACCTCCCAATTGATTTATTTATTCATTTTCGGAGGGGGAGTTGGTGCCCCAAAACCTCCTTGGGTCTTGATGGCCAGAAGGGGATTCATCCAGTCATCAAGACTGTACAGTCCCAATAGACGGAAGCAACAGTGGGCTGATACTTTACGTTAAAATATATGGCCCCATATATGTAACATATTGGCCTACTTTATTTTTATTTTTTTGTTATTTTTATCAAAAAAGCATTGAGAATTCAATACATTTCAATGTTTTATGATGTGTTGCAGGCTGTATTGACCCAACATAGCCTGTATCGGCTGTTATTGAGGGCTTTTTTTGAGCCCTCAATGTTATAAATTATGGCTATTGACCACCCACAGGCGTGTAAATTAACAAATTTTCTGTTACTTGAAAATGTGTTGCCAATATGGGCATTGCTATTGGCCCACCATTGATGGAAGGAATTCCTTCCAGCTGTTGGATGACAGGAAGGGATTCCTTCTGGCCATTGAGACTGTACAGGCTTGATGACCAGAAGGAATCAATTGTGGTTATCAAGACTGTACAATCTTGATTACTGGAAGGGATTCCTTCTAGTCATCAAGGCTGTAAAGTCTCTATGACCAGAGGAAATTCCTCCCAGCCATTGGAGGGAGGCAAATCCCAAGCCTCCTGGGATGTTGACCCCCCCCCCCAGAAAAAAAATAAACAAATAATTGGGAGTTCCACTCCCAATACCACCTGGGGTATTGGAAGAACAACTCCTGCCAACTGCCTCTCAACAAAAATAGGAGTTTTCAGCAAAAATTTGGGAGTTGTTTTTCCAATACCCTAAGCTTTTTGACTCCCAAACCTGGCTTAAATTATTCCTGGATTAGGAAACTCCGGGATTAATTTTAGCCTTGAATTGAATTCTGACTCAGGAACCTCTTGTTGGAGTAGTCATTCCTCTTTTCTCCTTTTCATCTGTGCTTCTCACCTATCTCAGATCTGTCACTCACCTGTCACTGGATCCAGACTATACCTGGGCCAGAGTTCATGGAAGGATTCCTCTCCTCATCCTTCCACAAAACCTCACTCTGACCAAGGTATGCACTTTTCTTTTTTTTCCCTCTGTCTCTCTTTCTCTCTCTTTCTCTCAGGTTTATTCCTCTCAACTAATGCAAAGCATATTTATCTTTCCACAAAACCTCACTCTGACCCAGTTGAGTCCAACACCTCTAAGTGTTCCTGAGCAGAATTTAACACTTGAATTTTGTAGAGTATTTTGTTGATCCGTTAAAAAGCTAGTTTAATTTAAGATACAATTTAACAAATACTGTTGAGTTTTCCTGGTTTTTGCCTACTTCTTCCCTAAATTCCCTTCCATTCTGTCTCTTCTCTTCTTTCTTTTCTTCTTGGATCTTCCTTTGTTAGACCAGATTATAGCCTTTAAGTAGCCTGGTTTTTGTTGCCTGAAGCCGCATCTGTAGTCAATTAACCTTAAGTAAAAGCTCTTGTCAACTACTCATGCCTCTCTCATTGATTGATTAAATCTGATGATTCAGAATTAACAACTCTTAAATATCTGTGGTGAAATGTATGTTTTTTCATGATTAATTTTCTGGATTGAATAAAAGAGACTGAGAAGGCTTGGCTGGTTATTTCTTCCATGAACTCATATATTTCCTCCCCTCAGTTTTATTCACAATAATTTTTATTCAATTCCTCCTCCACCACATATTCACACTGTACTTATTCTATTTAAACTAGTATAGCTTAGAGGAATAAACAATATTGGTTCTTTAACTTTTGTTTGCGTGAGCCTCTCCCAAAAAAGGGCCTTCTCTTTTTTGGCCCCCTTTCTCAAAATCAGTCTTTTCTCTTGCACATTGGCTCATAATTTCAACAAATCCCAAGGTTCTTGTATATCTTCCTCACAAAAGCTTATGATGAACAATGCTATTGAACTTCTGAGTGGAGCATTATAATTTAGGATACCATTTACAGCTGTTAATGAACAATCTTAAGGAATGTATTTCTCAAATAGTATCATGATCTTGTACAGGAAATACATGAGAAATAAAGAAGAGCAAAATGATGTCATACTTAAGGCAAACAACAATGAAGCAATGAAGAAGAAACAACAAGGAAAAGATGAGGATGAAGTTTGACCAGACAAGTGGATAATATCGGTGAGTTTGTTGAGATAGAAGGGAAGCACGGGTCAGGTTGGCGGAGTGTCAATATAGAAGATGATCCTTGACTTATGAAGAAAGTATGAAACAATGGCAAGTTACGTCAGACAGAGGAACAGGATAATCAATAGAGATTTAGAGATTATAAGTAGTAATGTTTAGGGAGGCTGTAGATGACAACCAAGAAAGTTCCCTGAACAGAAAGAGAAGGAGGAAGGAAAGTGTCATGTTTTATATGTTTGAGGATCCGAGTGAGAAAGTAGGTTGCTTGTGAGTTTTGACAAGGTCCGTGCCAGATGACATCACATGATGATGTCATGTGGTCGAGCATGTTGTCAGAGGGTTATGAGGTTAGAGGGATTGTGAGCATGAGCACAATAGCGTACAGACTTCAACAACAGCCCTGTATATGCCAACAGTAAGACCTCCATTCTACTCATAGTTGGCCCAGGTATACTTTGAACAACTTGTGACATGTGAGTGAAAACCATGATGAAAGGTGAGAAGCACACAGAGAGAAAAAAAAAACATCAACCACTACTCCAACATTCAATTCATCAATAGTTTGGTTGACAGCCACTGGTCAGCCAAGAGGGTAGAGGATTCAGACTAGTGAAAAGATAAAGTGAGTGTTTGTCAATGTATAAAAGAATGGGGGCCAAAAACTTAAAAAGGGCAGTGTCAAAAATTGTACCTCAGATGGAATTTGTTAGAAATAGAAACTGTTGGAATTTTGTCTCTTTTCTTCTCATCCCTAAAAAACTCATCTATCTCTCTGTTAAATTAAATATGATTTGATAAATAATTTACATGATTTTTAATTTGTTTTTTGATAGTTTCTGTGTGATATCTTGTTATGTTGTCTAGTGCTGAAATCCTTGTAGTCTTCAAACCCTGGTCTAGTCTTTATCAACTTACATTTATTCCGGTCATCTTTTCAAGCATATGTTAATCTGTCTTATTCATTTTGATATTCATTTTTCTCAACCACATGTTTGACCTCTTGTATGTAGAATATTTAACGTGTAGTCTCCTCTAAGCAAAAAACACATTGGTTCTCTCCTTCATTTTGCAACCCTTTGAGCCATTCCAATAAAAATCAATTTTGTGGTCCAAAATTTTCCCTTCTACGGTCTTAATTTCATAAGAAACTGATGGTATTTTTGTTGTCAGTAATGATAAATATACAATAGCCTCATTTATATTACTGGAGAAGCACTATGATCAAAATATTGGTGAATACTGGAAATTGATTGCTTAAATGAGGTGCTAAACAAGAAAGCAGTGTCACAAAGACAAAAAAATTTCAGCTGAATAGTTGTGTGCTTTTCCTTTGACCACATCTAATTAAATATGGACCAGAAGAACAAAAAACAAAAACACCAAAAAATAGAAAGAATTTGCAGAATGAGAAAGATAATGAACTTACTGGAGGACTTCCCATCACGATTTAGAATGTTTTTAAGACCTCTCTCAGTTCTAAATTCACACTTTAATCACAACAAGAACTATCTCACATGGGGGGCCTTCACTACAAGGCTTCTGAAGAAAGATTTTTTGCCAAAAAGCAAGACCTTCATGGTGTAAATCCAATTCTGCAAGGGTCGTAAATGCCAACAGGAAGTCGTCCACTGGCCATGTCATCAAACGCTATATCTGAAGATCCCTGGTGGCCTGCAATAAGACTTTTACTTCAAAGAGGATTCTCACCTCTTGACTGCTGGTTTTAGCCATTCCCTAGTGGATGACTTCCTGTCAATATCTGCGGGTCCCCCAGTTTTGAGTTGGAGTGGCAAAAGCTAGACTTTTTGGGTCTAAATCACAAACTGTGAGGGTCCCAGATCCGACTGGAAGTTCTCCAGCATATTTTCTTGCATGAGTTTGTAGACCGCTGTGGCCCAAAAAAGCAGTCATGCAGAATTCAGCAGCCACGAGTTAGGGCCAGTACCATAGGGCACAAAAATTCAATTTTTCAGAATTTTTGTTACTCAAATTATCATTTCACCAAAATTGAACATCACTGGAAGCCAGTCATTGGAGGACTTCCTGTTGCACAGATGGCTTGATTTAGAGGGACTGGCTGAACTTTGTTTTCTGGTGAAATATTGAGGTCAAACAGTTATCACCAGCAAATAAGCTTTAGCCTTTCCTTCTAAATTAACAAATTTGGACGATGGGAAGTCCTCCATCAGAATAAAAGTGATGACTTCCAATTTTAGGTCACTCCACTTTGTGTCAAATAATGTGTAAAAGGCCGAAAAATTCCCATTTTTCAACAATGGATCCCACGATAACTGGGCTAGTCAGGATATATCTTTAGCTGGTGCACATAGCTGAATCTTAAACCGCCCAAACCCCAAGCATTAGGAGCGACTAAAGTTCTCGCTGCCATCTCGCTCATCCGCATATAGTCCTTTCGGGTTAGTTCATCCGGAACGTCCAACATCAATGGAGTTTATATGTCATTTCACTTCAGCGAGGCGCCCAGTGTTCCCAAAAAGGACTGGCCTGATTCTGGGGACTGAGTTTACTGGTCCCCTAAAAACCTAAACCAAAAAATATGCCGGCAAAAAAAAGCACTGAGGATTCATGTGTATCACTGTATCACCAGGTGGAAATGAGGCAATCAAAGAATATAAATATGTAACACTAGCTGGCTCAAAGGTTAAGTCAGGATAAAAAACTCTACGAGTAGGGGCCGGTAGCAGAGCCGCGAGCCCGCCCATAACTAAATTGCAAGTAGACTTATTACATTCTATGGGGCGAACCTGTGTTGTGCAACCTCGAAAGACACTTAGAAGATGTCCAATCTGACTTTTGGAATCTAGCACTTTATGTATGTAAGTCTGTGTGGAAATACAATGTCTTTTCATCCGGTCAAATCTCCCTCTCAGGGTCTCCTCATTACGATAGCTTGGGGTTCTTTCGAGTTTCAAGACCGTAGAGGCAAGAAACAATATCCTGTTGCCTGCTCGGTGACAATCTTTATATGGTAAGAACTACTTTGTAACAGTGTTCCATACGTCACTTTCGATTTGATCTGGTGCAGCGTATCTCGCAGGTGTGAGCATGAGCGCGTTTAGCAGGTTTTAACGCGCGAGAGCCCAACTCCGACCCAGGGTGTAATACAACACATATGCGATGGAGTCGAAGACGGAAAATCAGAGTGAGATTCTGCATGGCGATCTCACTTCGAGATGTTGATCGCATTGTAAAATCCTATCTCCGCCTTAACTCTTGCAGGTTGGACAGAAGCAGGCTAGCACCAGGGAAGCAGCCTTCAAGAACGCTGCTGACACCGAGCTCGACGCAACCCTTTGCTGGAATCCCAAAGCAGATATTTGTCCAACGGATAGTCTAGCTATCAACTCGAAGCTGGCCCAAGTGCACCGTTACCGAAGGTTCGGATTAACTGAACCAAACCAAAACTATTACCGAGTTGCCAACGCCCTACACCCATACACACATCTTACCTCATTATATCCAGAGCTAAAAAGGGAAGTTCGGCGCTGCTGCAGCTCCTGAGTTCTTTTATTATATGATCTATCTTTGTCGCTTAAGGCGCACCACCGGCCAATCAAAAGATAGACCTCACCTCATTGTAGCACCCAGGAATACATAGGCTTTTCTCGTTTCGCACCAGTAGGGCTGGGCAAAGCTCAACTCTGCTGAATCAGCTCTGCTAGAACGGAGGTACAGAGCCATTGCTCACTGCTTGTAACTTCATTCGCATGCACATACACACTCAGAGGAATTATATGTATCTCTTGGAAGAGTCCTTACTGTAATAGCGCATCTTCCAGTCAAAATTTGGTGGGCCCTCGTCGTCATACGACATCTTAAGTCAATCGAGAGTTTTGAGATTTTCTCCAGAGAAGTTCTATGTGTAAACCATACCATACCCAAACATATATGTAAGCATAGCGCTCATTTCGCCCTCTCCCCCCTCCCCCCCTTCTTGGAAAGTGGAATCAAGGTGAGTTATCCAGGGGTCAAGCTAACTTTCCAATACTTGGCTACTCCGTGGGTCCTACGTTCTTGGGCATCTTGGAAAAGTTGAATTTTGTCTTGAATCTTCCAGATAGGCCGTCATTAGGCATTCCATTCATTTTTTTACAATCCTCATTCAAACTGTTCTTCTCCTTTCCCGACAATGTTTTTATGCATGTCTCTTCCCCGATTCAGCTTCCTGTTCTTCTTGTTCATGCTTCTGGCCGATCTAGTCCCTGGACAATCCGTGGGCGGTCGCACCTGTCCTAAAATCACAACGAGGAAAGAATGGCGCCAATTGAGTAGAGAAACTCAAGCTTCCTATATCAAGGCTGTGAAATGTTTGACGACCAAGCCAGCCACTCTGCGGACCCGATTCAGGTTAAGGCGTTATGATGACTTCCAATACGTTCATTCTACTTTATATATGCAAGTCCATTTTGTTGCCCGGTTTCTCCCTTGTAGGTTTTTTTTACTTCTCCCTCTTTGGTTACTTGCTATTAATTCTAGTCAGCACAAGAACAATTAGTCCCGTATTGCAGCCTCAAAATAGTTGATTAAATTGTGAAATTATGTAGGGCATCGACATATTGTATTCCTCTATGAGCAAGCTCTTCGTGAATGCGGCTATCAAGAAGGGGTTCCGCACTGGGATTGGTCCTTAGACGCTGCCGATGCGAGCCGATCGCCGGTTTTTTCGAGCGACCCACAAGTACGAGTCCCGCCGGATTGTCCCTCGCGTTGTGTCTCAAGTTATTTTTGCTGATGCTCTTGATCTGCGCCAGGTTGGTTTTGGAGGGAACGGCACGGGCCGCGTCGACCCTCGATTGCCGGATGGTATGTCATCATCCTTATACAACTATGTTCATAGAAATAGCTTTGTGGGGAGTGCGCTTGGGGAATGTTGAACCGCTTGGCACTTCTCCTTAAACTTATTATGTAGACGGAGGCGCTGTTCAGACCGGCGCGTTTTCCAACTTCCAGCTCATACATCCGATTCCTCATCTTTTACACCGCAAGTTCGATGCCATGCTGGAGTTGTCGTCGAAGTAGGCCACTGAGACATCATGTGTTTTGGGTTAAATTGGGAGACTGCAAGCTAAATTGGGGTCGTTTTATTCGTATCCAGCAATGTGCCATACTTGGGTGAATTCTAGTGAGTTACAAGCGGGCATGATGAAGTCTAATGGATAAGTGATTGACTGTGGGTCGGAGGAAATCTAGTTCGAAAAGTAAGATAGCGGAGATTCAGAAGACATCTGATTTCTTGAACTACTCGAACAACATAGAGGTGAGCCTTCACAGCATTGGCTTCATCCATATGATTGCCTTGACAAAGTACAATCTTATGTTGCAGGGACAAAACCCCATGATTTTTCCAGATGCCCCTAGCGCCCCTCACGCTGCCATTCATATCTTCATAGGCGGCGTAAGCAATCAGTCTCGTTGATTTGAAGCTATTCGGATCCCTGACAACATCTCATTTCAACCATCAGGAAATGCCCCACTCAGTCTATGCCGCCAATGAAGTCAGTTTGTCACCCAATATCAAAGGGTTTCACTGCTTCTGCACTATTTCAATGGACTGACAGTTGGTATTTTTTTGACTGCAACCCTCCCTCATCTTTTGCAGCCGTAAGATAATTTTCATTGAGGTTTTGATCGATGATGAATTTGATCTGAAGACGAGTGTCGTTCCTCCTTACTGCAGACTGTTTTTTCTTCATCACGCGCACATTGACAAACTGTGGGCAGATTGGCAAAGGCAAGATTGGAAGAATCGCAAAAGAGCTTACCATGGAAATGTTAGCCTTCACCTCATTACTCAAGACACTTCAATATTCCCAAGAGGTCAAAGCTGACCTTGCTTGATTTGTCCGCTAGAACGTCCGCGGAGATCAAACAGAGGATGCTTCAATCGATGATAAGATGCCTTTCTTGGGGCTCGGAGGCCAAGATCCAACTGTTCTTTCGGTTATGGACACAACGGCTTATCCCTATTGTTATACCTGTGAGCATCCGTTGTGTCGATATTTCCGTGCTTCATTCTGAAGATGGTATCATCTTGCCACCAGACGCGAACTAGTTTTAGAGCGTATAATTTTACGAGACGATCGATGTGTCGAGCCAGACGAAGGCTCCTGGTGCCGTTGCCCCTCATGAATATAACTTACAAGAAAGGCAAAAGTAATTTCATTTTCTTCATCACAATTATCTATCTAATGGTGCAAACGTGCACTTCCTTATCTTCCTTGGAGTCGAAAGAATAAATTACAAATTACGCGAATGACAGACTCGAAGTAATTCGCAGCTATGACTTTATCTGCTTGTCACATATCAATCAATCACTCTTTGTGGCACCAGTTTTTCCTCAAAATCATACAATCAACTAGAAATGGTTAATGGAGATTATCCGTTAGGATACCTTATTCAGTTCCTAGGGAGTTTTATCTTCTCCTAGATAATTGATTGTATTTTTCCTTCTTGGATACATAGGCATAACATGAATGAGCTTATCAATTTTAATCATTTCTCATGTATCTGGATCCGTCCGGAAGTCCTCCATGTTTCTATACCTTCAAGGACAATTTAAACTCCTCGTCTTCCTTAAACCAATATTGTTTTTTGTTGAATCATTCAAAGTACAATCAAAATTTCCTCAATCGATTTCTAATAAAGAAGGAAGGTTAACTTCTTGTTAGCGCATTTTTCTGTCAGGGCTAGAAGCAAATTGTCCATATTGAGCAAACAAATGAAGACTATCAACGGCCGCTCACTTTGTCATATTGCAAATGAACTCAGTAGGATAAGCCAAAATGTGTGCCACAGGCGCTTCCACATAACCAAATAGTGTCCCCTGATTGAGTATGCTTGCCTGTTTCATCATAAAAAAAACTGCCAAAGGGTCCCCTCACGAGAATGACTGGGGCAAACAAAACGAGCGATATGTAGAAGTGGCCCATCCTCACATTGTCGCATGGCAAATGGACTCGCATGATAAGTCAACAAGCGTGGGCCTCAAAGTTTGCCAAATACCAGAGATAGTGTGTCCTAATGGAGTGTATATCTCCTATTTGTCTATGCTTACAAACACGGGCTTCACTGGATTACGGGCTCAGGAGCAAAGAAAGTGTTCCATCAACATCCATCAGTGCGTTTGTGTCACTAGGTTACAAGAGCAATAAACAAGAAATGATATTCCAAAGGGCAAAGGCGAAGCAACTTTTTAGACAACAAAAGTTCAACAAGCATCCTCTAGATGATGAAGAAGCGAGCAGCCATACAAGGAGCTGACTCTCAGCACATACATATACAGGAGAAAAATGGAAAACGGAGCAAGTTTGATGATAAATATATATATAGATGATGATAAGTATATGATGAAGATGATAACTATAACTAAGCAAGCAAGAATGATCAAAGCCGAAAAGTCTATCTAAATATGGCGTCGGCGAGGGATCGGCGAGACTGTACAACTTACTTCAGATGGTCTAGTTTTTTCTCCTTAAATTAGACTGTCAACAAAAAATCAATGGTACAACAGGGTCTTTTTTTCACTTTTTTTGTAATTGGTTTGACCGGCGGGAGATTGGAGAAGGGGAGGGGGGGATACAGATGGGGATGAATGGGAGTAGCAAAGACGGATATGAGTGTTAATATGAGGCTGTGAAGCAGCTTGAGAGATTCTATGGATGGATTGGCCTTGAGCTGAGAGCTACATATGCAAGAAAGGAATATATATAAAGACTAAATGTGTATGAAGGAAGAGCCAAGCTTATTGTGGGCAGGATATATAGGACCGAAAGAGGGGATGGTCTATTCCTTCCGGCAATTTCCTAGTGGGAGTATAGGGTCGAGGACGTGTCGACTCCTTTATATGGGGAAACAGGTTGCATTGTCCGAGGCGAAAGAGGTGAAAGCAAAGAGTTGATAAGGCAACAGCTGCATGACTACCTGTGTTGGGAGGAAGGGTTGGACTTGGGGGGAGGAGAGGGCAACAGTCTGGTATGACCTCGAAGAAGCTCACTGAACCTGGTGGTCGAGTCGTCTATGTAATGACTTTCGGTACCATAGAGAGTGGGTTGGCTAGGTCCAGCGACGGGAGACGGGGCCGGGGAGGGAGAGTCAGGTGGCACGACAGGAGCTCTTCTGGCCGACGAGAAAATCCTCAGCGGTCTGAGGATCTGGGGGGGAGGTGACATGGACTCATCAGAGTCAGCCACAGGAGAGCGGTAGTTGCCGCCCGAGGGTCGGGAAGATGATGCAATCGGCGACTGGGTGAGCCTGGCCTTCTTGTTTGCAGGAGGGGTCGTCGTAGGGGTCGTCGAGGCGTTTCCAAGATCATCTTCACCTTGACGGCGTTTGCGCGACGTAGGTTGCGTCGCTGGGATGAGAGCCGGGTCAGATCCAAGCAGTGCTTCCACCTGACTGCGGGATTGAGGCTCGTCGTCGGAAGATTCAGACAAGTCATCGAGTCTTCCGCGTCTTCCAGGAAAACGTCTTTGCGTTTGCGGTAGCGCGGGGAGATCAGGAGAATCAATCGAGGGCGCGTTGAATGATCCATCGGGAGGAGTGGAAACTTGTACGGTCGAGACATTGAGTCTCGTGAGGGAAGGTGAGACACGACTCCGAGAGCTGGTGTCAGTTCTGCCACTGCGTTGGGGAGAGTCTCCGGTGGGCCAAGACGCGGTAGGGTTTACAGGAGAAGATGCCAATCCATAGTTGTTGTAGTGAGTGGTGTCAACGGGATTGGTGGGAGAAACCGGAGGTAGCCTGGGAAGATATTTGATGGGCTTGTGACTTGCTTGAAGCATCGCCGCGATATAGTTGCCTGCGTTGATTTCTTTGAGAGTGTCGCGAATCAAGAAGCAGAGGAAGTCAATGTTGTTCGGGTGGTCGCAGTTGTTCAGTCCGAGTCTTTTGGCTTCCCGGCGGATAGCGTCTGGTAAATCCAGAGAGGTTGGGCGTACGGCGGCAGGATCGGCTGGACAGGACAACAAATGTGAGACTCTGGAACAAAGGTAGCGGGGGGAAGAATATTGAAAAGCAAGCTCACGGTTGTACTGGTGTCGGGGGGGAATGATGCCTCGCACCTGTGCCTCATCGCGAACGGCCTTCAAAAAGATTGCAGTTGTCTCGCCGGTACGGTCTGAGCTGGTCTGCTGAGTTCGAGAAGTAGAGGCATGGGCCCCAGACCTGTTGGGCGAAGCGGGTACGCTGCGTCTGGAAGGCGAAGGAGAGTGGCTACGGGCGGCAGGGGAGGCTCGATCGGCTGGATTTCCAGTGGCAGGTGAAGATGGGTGGGCGGGCCGACGTGGTGAGACAGTTGATGCTCGCGAGGAGGAAGAAGGGTGGCTGGATGGATTAGGAGGGTTTCGCGATCGCCGGGCGCGGGAAGTTTTGGGGGATGGGGGTGGTGGGGGAGCCTGAGCAGCTTTGGTCTTGGCGGCATTCAGACGAGCGTTGGTTTTGGTGGGACGGGGCACGGCAGCGGCTTTGGATTGAGTTGGTGCTGCGCCACGTTTGGCGGAGGCTATGTACCATTGCGCAGGTATCTTGTCAGGGTCAGGATCACTGCCCAGAATAAGTTTGAGCGCTTCACGGAGTTTGGCAATACCTAGATTGCGACGGATGGAGTGTTTCTGTTTCAAATGTAAAGACGCGCTCGTCAGCGATTCAATCGAGCAGAGGTCAGGACGAGACCCGACGGGTAGGATGGGGACGAGCAAGCGGGTTGACTTACGGCAGCTTCGGCTTGCAAGGCATGGTAAGGTAAGGAGTCGATGTCCTCGGGAGATGGGGTTAGGGCCATGTTGCCGATGGATTTCAGAGGTCGGGACAGGGAGCAGGCGAAGCGAGGGCGGTGACTAGGGATCAGATAGATCGACTGGGGCCTATTCGAGTTCATGATCATGGTGGCAGGATGGTAGAAGGGGCAAGACATTTAAGATGCTCGAGTCAGCTTGGGAAACACGAGCAAGAAGAGGAGGAAGCACTCCGAGGAAACGGAAGAGCGCGAGACGCGTTAAAAGCGAGGGAGTGGACACGCATGCTCGGGGAGACCGGTGGACCGGGACTACAACACACGGAGCAGGACTCAAGAAGTTTCGAAACACGTACAGTAGAATTAGCTACACTACGCTATGTCGGGCTGGGGAGCTGGCGTGCGAGAGTTAGAGTTGATGTAAACTTTGAGGCAGCAACCGTTGCAAACTTAACCAACAGAATGGTTTGAGGTAGAACAGAAACACAAGCAAGTCACTCAGAGCGGCAGGGGCAGGGTTGTATAAGACGGGTCAAGTATAGCAAATGGGTACGAAAACTGGGAGAGGAGAAGTCAGATGGGGGATGGGGAGAGGGAATCGTCAAGAGAGGGCTGGGTGGTGCCAGGGTTGGTAGTGCCCTTATATACCGAACCAAAAGCGCCGACTTCTCCGGCTGAGTTAGGAGACTGAGCCCTCATCAGTCTTGGTTTCGTTAGTCTGAAGCCGCGAAAGGCTACATAGAGTGGAGAATGCCTCACAATTTCTCCTTGTCGATGAGTTTTGCTGCAGTCTAACGGAGCTTACATTTGAACACATAGTTACTTGCAGCCATCGAACCTTTTCTTATCCGGCGAACTCCATCACCATAGAGCATTCGCCCTACCACACCACCCTTTCCATAATCGGGGAGAGCCCCTATGTGAAGCCCACATCTTCCAATCCCGGTCCTGAAGGGAAGGGCACCGCCCGTACGTGTTTCCTCTTTCTTCTCGTTGTTCAACGCTCGGCGGTCTACCCTTTCCTTTTCTCGCCGCTCCCGGCTCTATGCATGTGTAAGACACAAGTCTCCCCTTCGGGAACCGCCTGGCCAGCGCTACGCTGCCAGATGCGCCCTCGGATCAAGTTCGGCCTCGGCAGGGCCTCCAGCGGGGCTATGTATGCAGGAGCCAGATTCTAGTCGACTGGGGTGATCGGATAAGCCGAAATTCAACTCTTCCATTGCAAGGATAACCCACACGAAACGGCGCTAGCATACATTTACATCCTATTGCGTCTGTCTCAGACGACAAGAACCAGTGGTAACAGGCGGCAAACTTAGGCAAGTCCCCTCCTGGGCGCGAAGGGAGGGGACTTGGGAAACAATGAAGTTTTTATGGAGGTTTTTCAGATTTGGCAGAGAAAATTTTATTTTTCTAATAACATTTTCAAAAAAAGACCAATCGTGAAACCGTAAAGACCACGGTGAAGGCCTTTGCTTTGCCTACAACCACATCAAAGTTTGTGCCCCTAGCTGCAATCTTCCTTCATCAGGAAATGAGCCTTGGAAGACCGCTAATAAAGCATTCCGCCAGGTACCCCAAAGGAGCCCAGTACATACTCTTCCTTGAGATAAAAAAAAGTGACAAGTCTGTCCATTTTTTAATGATCCTGACAGCTATTACTTCAGTCAAACTGTATTTGCTACTCCAGATATGTAAGACAATGCTCTTGGACAATGACAGGTAGAAACCCTGATTCACCTTTTGTGTCGGCATGTTTCTTACTGATTTTGGATGAATTAGAGATGGAGTAAAAATACCAAAAAAATACTGAGACATAGCTGGACTTCCCACCTATCCATAGAGGCTCCCACCAAGAGAATTGGAGTTTTGAGGCAAAGATACTGAGGTGGCAAGACCAGCACTTTTTGCATACTTCCAACCCTGCCACAGATATGGTATCTGCCTGTATCTGCCATGTATCACTATGTATCTGAGCCCCAATAAAAAAAAATATCTGACCAATCTGCTTTTATTTGCAAGGAGATTCAACAAATTTGGTTTTTGGCCATGCAGCTTTGCAGAATTCTCCATGATACACACAGTGTATCGTATCTGTGGCAGTGTTGATACTTCTCAGGCCAAAAAAGTCATTGTTTCATAAGTCCTCTCCTTTTGAGGGGGGTACTTTGCACCCAGGAGGGCACTTAGTTAAGTTCAAATAGGTGAGTAGTACATACTGGTTGATCCAGTTTTGATACAAGTACAGAATCCTCAAAGCTTACAAGATATCCTCTCTCTATTCACTGAGGAAGGAACCGCCACACCGTACACACCAGCACCTACAATCTCAGCAAGAACCGGGTGTCATACTTAGTTTGCGGACTCCT